CTTGGTGAGGCGCCATGGGGACGACCTAGAGTTTTTGATGCACCGCCAATGTGCCGAGTGAGCCCCCATTCCCATCCACAGCCTTCCGAGGGAGGCCAATCCCGTGGAAGAGGGAAGCACAATCCACATGGAGGGAGGTCGGCGGGGAAGGAGGGTCGAGCGGGGAATGATTTAGGCCCTCCAGGAGTCCTTGGTGTTCGGCCACACCCGCAGTCTGTGATAGATTGCCCGGGACGGCACCGTATATACCCCTCACAAAATCTCCAGCATCGTCTATTGAAATAACTGCCCATCCCGCTCTGGCAACCAATGCAGAGGAGGATTCGAGGCACGATCCGTCTCCGAACAGCGGCTCCCCAGGGTCGAACTCGAATGGGTCGACGGGGCCGTATGGACCACGGTACAAAATTGTGGGCGCAGGGTCAGGCGGGGAGACGTCATCAGGGACGGGGATTCAGAGGCAAGAAAACAAGGGATCACATTGACCCCCGGCCAATGCCTGGGACACCAAATCCGGGTCCACCAAATCAGACCGTTCCTGAGCCACACAAGGGCACTGCCACACGCGGTGCCAGACTGTATCTGGCCCATTTCCACACCTCAGGCATGCCGTGCTGACTGAATATTTCCCATGGGTGTAGCAAAGTGCACGTAGGGTAGCACCGCGTGAACACTAGGCGCATCAAGGTCCTAGCATGAAAACTGTGGCGTCGACTCTGCCAAGACTTCCGGGCTGGATCCGTCCACAATCCCCGTTCCCGAATCTCCCCTGCCCGCGGCGTGTCGTTGTCCGTCAATACACGGTCCGTGACCGCCTGCATAAGGTTAGCCCTCAAGTCCTGAAGAACAAGGCGTTGTATCACAATGGGCAGGGACTCCGTCGGCAGCACTAGGGTCCCGTCACGCGTCACAAAGCAGCCCATAGCGTCCACCTCGCACCCCGCCTGGCCCAACCACAGCAGCATAACCCCCAGGGGGCCAATAGATTTAGCCGCCCAGCTAGCATTTTCGGGTAGGGCCCCCTGGGTGTCTCGGATCCGTCTGAGGGCTTTCAATGGGAACCCAATGTCCAGGCCGTCGGGATGTCTGATGTCAGCGTCACTGGCCTGCCACACTTCCTTGGAAAATCGCGTGAGCGTGGCCGCTGAAAACCGCAACGGGTCCATTGCGGGTTCGAGGGCCTCCTCATCCTCCTCCTCCGCCTCCGCCTCCTCCGCCTCCGCCTCCGCCGTCTCCTCCTCCTCCTCCTTCTCCTCCTCCATTCCTTCGCTTTATGAATAGCTTCTCCCTGCCGCACCCCGAGGCCAGTTTAGCCTAAGACGTCCTCACCATGTATGGAGGGCGGGTGGCTTTCAAAATGTGGCTCTCGCCTTGGCGCCGCGCACATGTGTTAGACATGTGCGAGAGCTTCACGGATTAATGGCGGGTGGTGTTCAGCATGTGGCTCTCGCCTCAACGCCGCGCACATTCGTCTTAAAAAGGTGCAAGAGCTTCACGGATTGAGGGCGAGTCGTCTTCAACATGTGGTTCTCGCCTTAGCGCCGCGCATATTCGTTTCAGAAATGTACAAGGGCTTCACGGATTGAGGGCGGCTCCTCATCACAATGCGGCTCTCGTCTCAGCGCCGCGCACATTCGTCGTAAAAATGCGCCAGGGTTGCACGGATTGACAGCGGTTCCTTTTCAAAATGTGGCTCTCGCCGCAGCGCCGCGCACGTACGTCTTAAACATGTGCGAGAGCTTCAAGGATGGAGGCAATTCCTTTCCAAAATGTGGCTCTCGCCGTAGCGCCACGCACCTTTTCAAAATGTGGTTCTCGCCTGAGCGCCGCGCACATTCGTTGTGAAAATTGCAAGGGTCTCACGGATTCCCATGATCAACGTACCAGACACGGTGTTTTTGACGGATTCAGGCTTATGAGGGTGAACAAGCGATGTTGACTCGCGGTGTTGAAATCCAAGGAATGGCGGTCAGGTACAATTCAAAATCGTCAAAACGAAACAGTCAGGTTCATCCGTGGCGTCGGTATCCCGAGAACAATGTCTTGGCATGCTTCAAAGCCTTCACACAGTTGTCCTCCAACGGGGCAATTCCCTCAGTAAAAATGAACCGCTGTAGGGGCCTATGAAGAGGGAGCTTGGAGGGAGGGTGTATTCCAACATCGCTGATGCATCTTGGGTTTACACTGGTCCTCCTTCTCCTCCTCCAACTCCTCCTCCTCGTCCTCCTCCTCCCTCCTCCTCCTATTGTCGTCCCCCTCGGTCCTCCCACCCCTTCCCCTCCTCCTCCTCCTCCCCCTCCTCCTCCTCCTCCTCCTCCTCCTCCTCCTCCTCCTCCTCCTCCTCCTCCTCCTCCTCCTCCTCCTCCTCCTCCTCCTCCTCCTCCTCCTCCCTCCTCCACATCCTCCTCCGAGTCCTCCTCCATCCTTCCCCCTTGGGGTATGACGGCTTCCCGAACCCCGTACTCCAAGGCATGCTCCTCCACATCCCTGATCAGGGCAACTCGCCTGGGCATCGCTTATGAATGGATTGATTGGGTCACGCGAAGCGTCTAGAATTGTGAAAACCTGCTGGACCTTCCTCGAAGTTCACACAAAAGTGTATTTTGCAAAGGTGGCGGTTTGCAATCGGCACCCTGGGGGGCACCCTGGGAGGCGGGCGGGGACCTCGATAGAAAACTCCGCTGCGCCCTGAGGTGGCCCGACGAGAACAGTGTCGTGCTCCCCAGGCCTCAACGTTGCCGATCGCAAGCCTTACCCCGGCGCAACCATATCCCTTCTAGTCGCCGACTTCTATATCTGGCAGCGCGCACAATGGGGAAGGGGAAGGGGGGAAGGCGTCTTCGAAGGGGGCGTCTGCTCAGAACAGCTTAGAAGGCGCCGGCCTTACATCTACAGAGAAGGCCCGCGCCTTCTGAGAAGGCAGCCTCCTTTTGAGAAGCCTCCCCCCCACCCCCCTAACCCCCTCTCTGCGCGTGGCCGATGGCTTTCGGGTCATAGCTCAGCCGGGTGGGTGGCAACGGAGTGGCCAGAGTGGGGGGCGGAGACCACGGCCCGGCAGGGGCCATTTGGGGCCCCCCTGGTGGGGCGCCTGCCGGCTCTAGAAAGGGGCCCAACGGGGTCCTCTTTGGGGGGGGCCCTTTGTCTGCACCCACCGTGCAGGCCACACCCCCACGACCACCCGTCCGAGCTTCGGCGGCCGCTCGGGACGGCACCGGCCCCCCTGGGCGCCTCTCGGCGAGGCGCCGCTGCCAACACGCCAACACGCACCCTGGGGCAGGAGAACATCCAGGAACCGTCTCACCCGAACGAAGGATTGCAAAAAAACCCAAGGATTGCAAAAAAAAACCTCCCTCCGGGCCTCTCCCAGGTTTTGCAACAAAAAAAAAAAAGGATTGCAAAAAAAAACAGGATTGCAAAAAAAACGAAGGATTGCAAAAAAAAAAAAACAGGATCGCAAAAAAACCTTGGTTTTTTGAAGGATTGCAAAACAACCTTGGTTTTTTCTTTCAATCCTTGGTTTTTGTTGCAATCCTTGATTTTTTTGCAATCCCTCCCTCCGGGCCTCTCCCAGGTGGCCCGGCCAGAACTTCGCAGCGAGTCCGGCCGCGGCAACGAGGGCCTCCCGGGGGAGCCCAGCGAGGCGCGGGCGAGGGAGCGGTAGGGATGTCGGTACCTCGTCCTCCTCTGACATCCCCCCTCCCCCCTCCTCCCTCCCCCCTTCCCCTTTCTGACCTCCCCTGACCTCCCCCCTCCCCCCTCCCCTCTCCTCTGACTCCTCCTCCCCCCCTCCCCCCTCCCTCCTCTGACCTCCCCCCTCCCCCCTCCTCCTGTTTGAGCGCCCGAAGTGGGTACGATGCCCAAAAACAAATGTTGTCCAAAAACACGCCCGAAGTGGGTACGATGCCCAAAAGCAAACGTTGTCCAACAACCGACAGCGGCCGATCTTCTGTATCGAATTGATAGCGCCTGCGGCGACACCGACGGCGAATCCTGTTCGAAATGGAAAGAAGCTGCTGTCGGTCTTCGTCACCATTCTTTGCGTACCCGTGTCAAGCCTCCAGATCCTGGCTTCCACGTCCCTTCTGCTGCAACTCATGGGACCCCCCAACGCCACTTTGTTGGATGTTTCCAAGCGACGCTAGTCGACACTAACCGAAGCTAAAGCGACGCGAATCGACGCTCATCGACGCTAAATCTGCGCTATCTCCTCGACTGCCAGGCGCATCGACGCCAGTACACTCTAAAAACGTCACTACGACAGTAAAGAAGGGCCCCATGATTTGCTACCGAACGTACCCACCTAAATACTCCAGGTCTGGGCTCCCCCACCTATGAGGGGCCACGATAGGGAGGGGACTGGCACAGGTGGGGTGGGGGGGGGCACATCGAGCAGGAATCGGCGATACATCGCTGATAGATTGGCGATAGGCCCCGGAGAGTGCATCCGCAACATCCTGGGCGGGGGTGGAACCATCGAGCCCCTTTTGGCGATCAATGGGCCATTGGGGGCCGATGCCCCTGTCGTTGCCCCTGCCGATGCCCCTGTCGTTGCCCCCCATGCCCATCCCCCCCTGTCGTTGCCCCTGACCACTCCCCGACCTCTTCTGGGGTGCGTTTTGACAGGGACTTCGAAGCGAATCCGGCGGTGGCGACGAGGGCCTCCCAGGAGGCCCAGAAAAGGGAAAACAAGGCGAGGGTATCCGTATCGCCACCTTTTCCTCCTCCTCCTCCTCCTCCTCCTCCTCCTCCTCCTCCTCCTCCTCCTCATTCCCCCTCCCCCTCCTCCTCCTCCTCCTCATCCTCCTCCTCCGAATCCTCCTCCTCCTCCTCCTCCTCCTCCTCCTCCTCCTCCGCCTCCGCCTCCGCCTCCTCCTCCTCCCCCTTCCCCCCCACCCCATCGCCGCACCCGACCCGCCCGGGGACCCCGACGTCCGCGACGCGAGACGCCCAGCTGTTGAGGACCTACGGGGGGCGGGGGCCGCGCCGAGCAGCACGCGCGC